AGCCCGTCCACGCCGGCCACCCCCCAACACCACCAGCCCCAGCCCCGGCCGCTGGGAGCCTCCCTGGCCTCGCCGCACCATGATGCTTGACAGCTAGCATAGAGACGCACTTGGTGCTGGAAAGGAGTTTGAAAGGATGGAGAACTGCTTCACCCACCAAGAGCTTTCCGGGGCCTTTGCAGTAGCGGGGGTCTCGACAGAGCTGCCTCTGCGTGGAGCCGAGCAAGGGCTCTCGCTGCTTCGTTTTAAGCCCTGCCCTGGCTGAGTGCTCGGTGACCCGTCTGGGACAATTCGCCATGAGGGAGGTGGCTGAAATTGGACCACTACGTGTTACAGTTCACTTTGGTTTGGAGAGAGAAAAGATATGTTTCCTTATTGCCATTTATTTCTATTCAACCAGTTTTTACACGCACAGTACCTTATGAGCTCCGTAAAGCTTTAACATCTGAGGTGCCTACACGACTGTAACACAGCCTTGGAGAACTGACGGTTTTCACTGGACAACTCAGCTCTGCATTATTAGATGAATGGAGCTCCAGCCCTCTGTAACTATCATTTACAGTTTTCCTTCGAGACAAGACTACCGGGTGAGCCTTTTAAAATAGGGAGAAAAACAACTTTGAATTGTGCAAATTGCAACAAATAATGGCTAGCTGTATGTATGCCAGTCTGTGCCACAGGGAAGATGGATATTATAAATGTTCTGGGATCCCATTTCATCCTCTTATAGTAGCTTTTTCCTCACCACTGACTCCTCTCCAGTAAAGGTTTTAAATAATGCATATGTAATTTTGTTGTTTTATGCTGTGTTTTGCTTCTAACACAGGCCTGGGACTGTGCATCCCTCCCTCCCCTGAAATTCATAATCTTGGATATAAAGATTTAATTATTTGTTTCTGCAGAATTTGAATATTTAGAAAACATTGTTTACAGCACACATCACTTTTTCATCAGCATCTCTTGATTTAATCAGATGGTCAGATACTGTCATGCTTTGAAGTCTCCAGTGCCATCTGTAGAAAGCCCTGCAGGCTTGTGTGCCGTGCCAAGAGATTTTGTTTGACAGCCTTTATTTATCAGATGGGTTTGTAGGCAGCTCATTACCAAATGATGAACCTTCCTGTCTCTGGTTAATTATCAACTTCCATGTCTGTTGGGTGAGATCAGCTCACTTATAAACGAGTATTGGTTCCTGTAAAAAAAGATTGTTTTCTTCAGCTTTTTACTGCATCATTTAAGAGTAAATCAGCATTTCAGATACTTTAATCATAGTGGCCTTCCATTCTTCTGTATAGATATCCTGATAAGTTTAGGCCAAGACAAAGGAAAAAAAAAGAGGTGTACACTAGTACACTATACTGGTCAGCTTTGACAAATTCTTTATTTCTGCTCTAGTGCACACATGCTATTATCGTAAAAAGCCAAACCCTTTCCTCCTGTCATTCCACTGACTTCAGAGAAGCTGCACAGACAAAAATTTGGCCAGAACAGTCTAAAGTATATATTTTCTCCTTTCTAAATTAATATAATTAAATAAATACAAAAAATTGGTTAAAAGATTCATGTGTTTCTGTGTTAAAAGTTGTGGTGCTTATTGTAGGATAAAGTGTTCAGGCCTTTCAGGCCAGGCTCTGTTTTATTCTGTGGCTGGAGACCATCCATTGCATTTTGGGTACTAGTTTATTTTCAGAAGTTGTTAGTTTTGTTTATTATTTTATCATTCACCACTCAATTTTGTACAAACATGGATGAACACATTTGGCCCCAACATCTTTCTGTGGGCCAAAGCAAGACAGCAATAGGAAATTACATCAGAACATGAACTGCATTATTTCAAGAGAGGCCAAGCAAGCAAAGCTTCAGGTGCCACCAGGTGCAGTTCTCAGAAACTGAGAACTGTAAGTTGTAACCCAAGGCTTACAAAGTCCCACAGCACACAGGGGCTGACATCCACACAGTAGGCAAATACACACTGGTCCCAAGGGGAGGCTGAGCACACCACAGTCACATCAGGTCTGCTCCCAGTGCACAAACCACTGCACCCCACGAAGGCAAGGAGTACTGCCAAGAAATGATGGGGTTAACCAGCAAGTCTCATGCCTGGAGGAGATGCTCCTAGCTTGGCGTGAGGGGTACTACGAAATAAGAAAAACAACTTGAAAAATACAGGACTTGAGGCTACAGTACCCAGCAAGAGAAGAACTCCCAGTGTGAAAGCTTAACAAGAAAAACAAAACAATTCCTCTCCAAAAAACGGGTTCTGTATTCCCATTATCTCTGCAAACAGAATCGCACAACTCAGAAGAAAACATTTATTTTTAAACTACAAAATAGCTACAAAATGCACAAATAGAAATGCCATTATCTTGCTTAAAAAAATCTGCATGAATTTTCAGAAGTGACAAAATGTCACTTACGTAGGATGTAAAACAGATGTACCATGCTGTCCAGCTGGCCCTCTACCCTGTCTATGGCTATGCATCCTTCAAGAGGTATCTTCTGAAATGCATCTATATATGCATGTAAACTACATTATGTTATGTATATAAACTACATTTAAAATGGAGAGGGAAACAATTTCTTTGGAAAAATGCATACCATCATATTTAAATGATGCTTTGTAATTATATGCTTTAATTAGGAGATTCTAAATTAATTTACTCATAGTAAGCATCGATCAGATTTTTATAACAGACTTTTGAAATCATAATGATAAATTAGCTGTTTTAAAAATTATTCTATCGGCCAGTCAGCGCTAATAAACGATTAATTGCAATTCCTGCTTTAATCACTAGGTGGCATTTGGCTGTGTTGGAAGAGTGCAATTTCACAGAATTTTGGACATCAAAAGAAATTTAGTATTGCATATAGAGCAATGAAATGTAAGCAACAGTTTAGTGACAGAAGTGAGGATGCGGAAGGATGCTAGATATACATTCAAAAATGCTAGAATAAATACACAGAAAATATCATTAAAATAATTCAAAAACTACTCTAAGGTGCACAGTGGTACAAAGGCTTAAGACTAAGCTCTGGCTAAGCTTATTATTGACAGAACAGCAACTGTTAGTCTTGTGGCCGTGTCTCAACAATCAGCCCATGCCAGTCAGGTGGAATCTAGGAACGTTGTCTCTCTACAGTTCTCGTGATGCCTACTGTAAGAGGGGCTATATTGCCATTAAATGTTGCCTGTACTCTTGCTGAAGACTAGCTTGCAGGCAGAAGACAGACCCATGGTCTCCTCTCTAGCTGGGACTGTCCCTTGGCTCATTAAAAAAAAGAAAAATAAACAAATTCTAGACTCTTTCTGAAGCAGTTTCAGACCAACTGTGCAAACACTACACAGCTGCAGGTGCCCTGCAAGTCTGAGGCACCTGGGCTGCCCCGGTGCTGCTGCTCATGTCCAGATCTCCTTCCGGCCCATGCACAGTCGTTCTGAATCACTCCCCACCCTTCCTTAGAGAGCTTCCAAATGCAGTTGTCCCACCAGATCCAGCAAGATCAAGGTAAAACAGGCCTCCCTGGTTAGGAACCACTCAGGTGGCAAGTTCCTCTCCTCCTTTCTTTTATCCAAACTGGTGCTTCATCTTAATACTGATATAGGTGTTGCCAAGTCCTTGTGGCCCATGACTGTATGAATTCAGTATGCCAGGGGTACAGCTTTGTTCCCCATTGAAGAGAACTTATATTTCAGTCTCCTGCTAACCGTGTTGCATTCCAGCTCCAAGAAGGGGGCCAAGTCAGAAAGATGTCAATATTTTGTTCGTCAATTAAAGGACAAAGTCAAGGTGGAAAAAAGTCTTTTGCAAGGAAAAACTATGTTTTGTCCTTCCTTTGGAAGGGAGAAAAATTGATTACAAACTGTATTCTTAGTTTTGTTGTTGGCTTTTCAAGGTCTCATACCATAGTTAGGGACTAATTATCCCTACAATAGTTTCCACTGAATCCTAGGCATGAATTACTTCTAGATGTTTACTATGTAGGCATGGGCAGGGGGCTGGAATATTTTTTTGTTTCATTTTAAATGCAGGGTTGGTAATGTGCAAAACCGCTGCCATACAAAAACAAGCATGCTTACTAATAATAATACCGTGAAACAGTAAAGAAAAAGAATTAGGCAAATACAATGCTTTGAATTTTCTTAAATTCAAAGGCACCAAGTCTGTCCCTACTGACTCTTTGTTAAGCTGAAAAATACTAGCAAAAATGTTGAAGTACATAGTTCACACCAGTTATTTCCCCATAGAGTCATCTGTAGACATATGACTGTTGAGTGGTCCCTTTTGCTAATATTTGCAAAAAACCTGAAGCAAATAAATGAACTATTGGGTGTTTAGGCAAACTCACAGTGTATTTAGTCACCTGAACAAATACTAGACTTTATTAGTATGCTTTAAGAGAGCAGCCTTTCAGTTGATTTCCATCAGAATTATCTACATAATGCACATGTTATAAAGGAGCACATTTTCCATCTGATGAGGAGGCAGCTTCTCAGAAAAAGTTCACATCACAAGCTTTTTATTGAGCCATTTATTTCATCTGCTCCCTTTAACACTCCACCACCTCATCCCGAAGGCTCGTAAACACGCAGCCAGGAGCACTAACAGAAACTGTTGAATTAACAAAGTTGTAGAATTGCAGTAATTTTCTGCATTCCATTTTACCTCCTTCATATTGACTTCCTTCAGAGAGATCTCCAGCTAAAAGCAAGAATTGAAACATGATGTCCATCTGAAGGTGAGGCAGCTGCATGAGACTAATGCATTAACCTGCTCACTGCAAATGGTTCCTTACCTGAATCCTAATCATCACACACAGGCTGCCAATCTCAAGCCATAATGACAAGAACAGTTCCTTTCCACTGTATTTGCTCTCAGGTCTGCCGTCTGCATCCACCCACCACCAGCAGCGCTCCTGGGGAAATGGATCAGTCAATTAGTGCTGGGAACACAGAGTCAGACAGTGGCATTTCGTGTTAAAACTGGAAATGGAGATGTTTATTTTATGCCATTGCAGTAGAAGTGACATCTAAGTACCTGCTTCCTAAAAAAAGATGATTTTACTTCAAGTTTAAAGCAGCAGCTCTCTTAGCTGGATCATTCCTAGCAGCTGAAAAGCATGACCACGCCAGGGTTATCCAGACTTGTGTGTCCCAATCGCCTGTAAGCAAACAGATGCCTACAGCTTTGTCTCTAGGTCACTAGAAAAGTACTCCCAAATTGGGATCTGCCCCTTAATTTGGCAAACTTTTTTGATTCTCTATCACTGCAGACAAGAAACTGAGACCAACGGAGAAAAATAAAGACTTTTTTTTACAAATTAGAGTATGTCAAGGGGAAAAAAAATCAAAATAATTCACAGAACAAATTCGGTGCTTTCTTACTTAGCTCACAGAGCTTCCAGAGCTATAAATAAACCAATAGTATAATACCCTGTCACTGTCATTTTAGCAACGTGTGGAGCTATTTATGTGAATGGGAGTACTATTTATACTACTGTATGTTCCAAAGCATTATCTCCGCTGGTGACGCAGCACCCACAGCAAGAGCCATGTCCCTGCAGACTAGGGGCATGAAAGCCCTTTAAGCCAGCAGAGCTCATGAAAAGTGCTGTGTGGAGAGATAGGACGTCCCCTGTGTCACTGAGCCCGACCTCACTGGGAGCCTGTCCTGGGGAAGAGGGGAAATAATAGCAAGGGAAGGCCTTTGCTAAAGCAGCTGTATTTAAACAGGCAGCCCCTTCCACCACAGTTTCTGAGATCATAGCTTTGTACCTACTTTTGTCTCCTTGACCTTTTTGACAGCAGCTAAACTAACACAGATAAGTTCCTGTGCACTCAGCACCCTGCAGCACCCTGCAGCCTTCAGAGAGGCATTCCAGCAGCACTCTTTGCTTGGGGAGGGGAATTTAAAATGGCCAGCATCACACTCATCATTTCACAGAGCGTGCAGTGGAAAAGCACGGTTTTCCATGGAGTCCTGTCTCCTGCTCTAGTTGCTTATAAAATACTTAGTGAAGAAAGCAAACAGGACACATAGTGAAAAGTCACTTCAATTTTCCAGTCTCTAAAAGTACTTTTGGTGTTTGGTTTCATATTGCATGGGAATAAACTACCTACTCAACTAATGAAACAGTCACAGAGCTACTCCTTCGAATAGCTGCACCTGAACTGACTTTTGGGAACTGGCCCTGGTCCTTGCTCTCCCCTGACCTATGCCCAGCGAATGTGGGCGAAAGCACTCACTGGCCCAAGTCAAAACCATGCTAGGAAGACTGCTAACAGTTTGTGCAGATGATGCGTGCTTGAACCCAGGCACGGGCTTGGACAAGCAATAGCCAGAGCACCCCCAAACATGGTGCAGCCCTCAGAGCGTACCCCGAGGGCTCATCTAAGGAAAAACTGCAAGGTGGCTCCCAGCCCTTACTACCCTCTTTACGCTGTAAAGAAGCCGTGTAGGCTTCATAGGAAGAGTACAGTAAAATCATGTTTGTGTGGTGGAGAGCACCCACCACTTCTGAACAGGAGTGTTTTCCTGTTATTGTGAAACCTCTTGTTTGCACTGCTAGTAAAGACAATCAGAAAACAGCAACTTAAAAATTCTCAGTCTAATTTTACATAAGACATCCATTGTACGTAGATTCATGCAACTTAATTCACAGCATAATCTGCTATTTTAAGAATCAACAAAGGCCAACTGCAGACACATGCACTTTCAGTAAACAGCATTTTACTCTGTCCTTGATTACTAATCAGTATATAGGTTGTAAACTAATTTCATATAAATATTGCAGGAAGATTTAAACACAATTGTATTTGTTATGAGAATATTTGAAGGAACATATTTTGCCAGTCTCAAATGATATACTGAAATCAGGCTCTCTTTTTCTTTTAAAAAAATTCTTTGCATTTTCAGGTATCAAATGAACTTCACTATTCTTTTTATAGTCACAAATTCTTGTTTTCAAGAAAATAGAAGGGTAGATTTATGTCTCTAACACCTGTGGAAAAAACAAATTTGTAAATGGTTTTGTAACTGCAGTAGGTTACAAATAGAGAATGCCAGCATAGCCCAGTTAGATAAGATTTACTCTCATTCTGAACAGATTGGTAAGAGAGTCAGTCCACCACTAAGGTGAGGTAAATCAATGCACATTACCTGCAATAAAGAAAAGACCGATTAGCGAAAAGAAAAAGCCTGTTTAAATGTATAGGAAGCATTTAGGAATGCATTCAGCATATAGGAATTTATACATGTTTTGGGGGTAAGTGAAATAAGGTACCAATGTTACTTAGCACAGACAGATGTCTTTGAAGCATTTTATCAGCATTAATTACCTTGTAGAAGCCTCTTAAGATGAATTAAAAGGCTCTTTTCTAACATTTTCTCACATCTCATTTTCTAACATCTAAACTCTTTGCATAGGCAAGAGCACAGAGGTATATGAAAGAATGCCTTACAGAAAGAAAGCTAATTCCCGGGTTGTGGTCTGTGGATGATCAAGATCACCTTAGGCTACCTTACAATTAACTCACTGGTGGTCTAATGTTAGCATTCTTCATCATTTCAAACCGAAAAGACAATCACCTTAACTAGATTAAATGGTTCTAATGTCACTTTTTCATTTAATAGTACCTGTCACAGGGTAGTTGTATGATTTTTGAGTAGGTGGGTAATGGCCATAAAATTCCTTATGCTTTGATTGACACATTCAAAACAATTTGATAATTCCATCTGGAGATAAATAGTCCTTATCAATACTTGAGTAAATAGGCTTTGAGTTGCTTATTGTATATCTAAAGTGTTATTTTGGAAGTTTGAAATGTGAACTCTTAAGTGTTTCTCCTAAGTATATTCCTTCTCTGGAATATTATTAAAAAATTTTGAACCAAAAATGAAAAAAATATATATATAGTATTTTTATCATAGCTTGGAAGAGGAATGGTGTTCCTCTGCCCTGAAATGATACGTAACTTGAAGAATGATTTCCCACAGTTCACTTCTAAAGTCCGATTTCCTTTTACAACACACCTTTGGTATTCAAAGCACATGTATTCCAGCATTTGTTCAGTCAAACCACAAAATGTGCAGTTTGGCATGAAGATTTGCACTCTGTTAATTATTGTAAAAGGCTGAAATTGTTACATTCTTGAATATGGACATATTATTGGGCCAGTTTACTACAAACAATTTCAAATAAAACTGAGGCATCACATCTGTTGTAAGTAAAAGGAAATATGTAAGAATAGGGACTCAGAAATAAACTGTGGATAACTGCAAAACAAATGTAACCCTAAACTTATTGCTATGTTTACTATTTATTAGTGTCTTTATCTTAGGAGGCTCAGCCAAGTTGCAGCTATTCAAAAATGACACTAACACTGACAAAAGCCGGGCCAAAGGGGTAGGATATATAATTGTGAATTTGGATCTGCTAAATTCACTTACTCCCATGCACCAGTGGGAACTCTGGGGGATCAAAATCAAGCTCTAAAGCATAACATGGATATTTAGGGATGCAGATCTTGGAATCTTTTAGCTGGTTCTCCAGGATGAGGCTAGGATTTAACCCAAAGACTGTAGGACGTCTAAGAAGGAATTTAGAATGGGGAAAAAGGAGGCAGGGGATAGGAGGAGAGATTACATTGGATCCTAAGAGGTTTAAAAATTGACATTCAGATGGGAAGGGTAGTCATAACTCTAGAAAGACTAATTGCTACCTCCCAGCCATATGAGAAGAAAATGCTGACATTTTGAGGGTTTTGCAGTTTTAAAAGTGAAGATTCTTATTTTCAAGCATATAGCCAAAAACAAACCCTGCAGCTGAAATGCTAGCCTGGAAGGTAAGTGAGATGGGTTTAACAGGCACTGTAAGAGGGCATTAGAAATAGCACTGGGCAAGATGAGCACCCATGAACTCCATATGGCTCAGAACTGACCTTTCTCCAGGCTGGTTGTATCATTTGGATAGAAATACATGTATATGAGCTGTCAAATATGCTACAAATTCCAATAACTTCAAGAAAATGTGTTTCATATAATGTTAAAAAAATCATTAGAATAACCTCAGGCTACCTTCAGTCAATTAAAACACTCAAATTCTGCATCACTGATATTGTCAATGTACTACTGTTCAGAAATGCTACTAATTTACAGACGGTTAATGTAGATTTTTCGAAGAATCCTATCCGTTGCAAGTGTTTAAAAAAGAATAGTTGTAGAAGGTTCCCATTTCAAAATGACAGAACTCTTTTGTTCTTCCATCCTTTTTTTGTCTACAATATGTCAATTTATCCAGAAAATACTCTAGTTTGTGCAAATTCATATCTTTCAGCGGAAGAATAGAGTGGGGATTTATTCCTTCCCCTAAGCATTTCCAGTCTTTTTTTGTCCAGAGAAGATGAGAAGATTATATAGATTTATGATAGTTCAGTGAATTATCTAGTTATAACTTCAGCAGACAGAATATTCACGTATTGGAAAAATGCAATAAGCATGGGTCATTTATTCATCTTGTTGATTATTTCTGCCAATTCTACTTTACTATCCAATCCTAAAGAAAGGAAAAAGTTTTTAAATTAGTAATTTTTTCAAAGGTAAAACACTCCAGCAAGAAAGAATCCTATTTTTCTAGTCTCTGGATGAAATACATCACTCATTCACAATAAGTTATATATGCACTCAGTACATAACTAAAAAAAAAAAATTATTTGAAAAGAATGATACTGACATATTCTTTCCATAAAATTACAGAATGCTGACCTCTATCTAAATAATACAACACTTTTATTGAGAAAGTGGTACGTACTAGTATGGTAGCTTGCACTGTAATAGTTCACTTAGTTTAGCAGTGAGATGGAAACACTGAGATACTACCTCAGGAACATAGTTGTTTCATTTCTGCATTTGCGCAGGCACTCCAGATAAACGAAAGACAGATTATGCTGCAGTGCACATGACTGTCAAAATCACATGCAATAAACTGAAACTGTAAATTCTTAAGCATTTTTGTTAAACAATCAGAACTGAAATGCCCTGTTGGAGTAAATATAAATCATGTGCTTTGAGAAAGTTAGTCAAGACATCACTCGGGAAAAAAAGTCCCATCAGCATCAGAAGGTTAAAGATTATCCACACAGGAATCTTTAACTTCAGCTCTCTTCCTTTTACAAGTCACCTGCTGAGGTAGCCATAACTGCTATTCATAGGATCACTTTTGTATTCACCGTCCTGTCAGTAATGTAAGAGCAATTTTTGGATGGGACAGAGAAAGACAACATTCTTGCATCCAATATGATCATTACATAGATTATTCAGCATGGGTAAGAATTCATAATGTAATGAATATGATTACAAATATGAACTCTTACCCATATTGAATATTCTAGCAAAGTTCAGGGGATCTTCAAATCCAACACCTACTCTCAGTAATTGTTTTAGATTATGCCTCTTTTCAAAAATCCGGCAAATAGTAAAAAGAAAAGAATACTGAACTGGTCTCACTGTCTCTGTTATCGTTTCTTCTTCCGGTTGCATTGAAAAATATACATACCTACAATGTTAGGTGATTTTCTCTGATGTAACTTTATCTTGGTCAACTGATTTTGGATGAAAAAAGAAGATAGTAGAAGTTTTCTGCATTTGGACACATCTGGATGATTTGACCATTAAGAAATATCATTCTTTGAAACAAGAAAGGAGAAAAAAAATCTGCCAAAAAACAGAAATACACTCCTCTTTGCATTTCTACAAAGATGACACATTAAGAATTCATAACTGAATGTAGACAATAAAATTGAAGTAGTATATTAATACATTTGATTTTTCAAAAATGTGGTAGAGAAAAAGCAAAATGAAAGCAAACTTAAAATGGTTATAGATAGAATTAAAACCCACTGCCAATAGAGACTAATAGAGTTAAATTAAGAATGACCCTTAGTTATTGAAATCTTAGAAAACATCCAGCGTTTATCATCTTAATCAGTGAGGATGTACTCAGCCAGGACAGGACGGAAGGTGAGGTGTGGGGATGGGGAAAGGAACTGTTTTTTTCTGCATTTCACAGTTACTTATTTGAGTGCCCCAGGCACTTGAAAACTTTATCTAGGCGTGTTTTGCATCAGGGACATAACCTGAAGATAAAAGGTATCTGATTTAACAGAGTTATGTCCTTTGGAGAAGAAAATATACCTGTTTCCTACATGACATAATGAGGCAAAGTTAATTTTTGCATTATAAAAATGACTGACTTTTTGGTCTCGAGTATTTGATTATTTGGGGGAGGGAAGGAAGCATGAAGGCTCTCAAGATGTGCAATTGGTATAGCCAGCACTAGGAGGAACAGTACAAACTGTACAGAAACAGTCGAGTTCCACCAGCCATGGGGATTTTGGAAGTTTTTGCAACTTCTATTTTTCCCCTCATGACTGCGAACCCTTCAAAGGTAGGATTATAAAAGAAGACTTCAGATGTTAAGTTCGAAATTGTAACCGGGACTCTGAGGAGAGGAAAGGGGGGCAGGTACAGAGAGAGCAGGCACAGCATGCTTTCGAGAACTCATTACGAAGCAGTTGTCTTTATAGCCTCTCTGCATAGGTAAGGATTGCAGCTGGGCAAATGATTCACCATCTTTCCATTTAGACAACGAGGAGGAGGATTAGTTAACCTGACACTGCTTTAACAAACTGCGGATCTGATCTAATTACCACAGTTAAGCAACAGGGTTTGGGAATGCAGAATTTGAAGCAGAGACTGGACTAACATAAACCTGCCACTGAAGCAGTTCTTGCTCTAAATGCTTTATAAATAGGCAGCTTCCGTCTTGCACCTATGAATTATGAATTTCTCCAAACATAAAAGGGGTAAAGTTGTCACATACCAGAACCTGAGGTCCCAGAAAAGACCAAAGTAATATCATATTCTTAATGCAATCATTACTATGACTAAATAGGAGTATTAAACATCCTACTCCTTTTCCTTTCCTTGGGAGCATTTGGTAGGGCTTTTCTTTTGCCTCAGAACTCCTGCTATGTACTAAATCAAGATCATCACTTTGTTCTTACACAGTGGCATGTCTAGAACGCAGAGAAAAGGAGTCAAAAAAAAAACCAAACTTCAAAACAAACAAAAAGCCCTACCTTGTCCTTAGGTCCATTCAAGCTTTTAAATCCTCGCACCAACACTTATCTTCCACTGCTTTAATCTTCAACTCTCTTGGATGAGTAGGGAGATGAAGAGAAGAAAATTCCCATTATTTGGATACTCCTTTTGCTGTCCCTGTCATCTTTTTTAATAGTCTGTAATGAGTAACTTGTTCATGGATAAATATACTAGCATTATTATTTTGTCTCCTTACCACAGGCAGCATGACTCAAAAAAGAACAGTCATGAGACAGTCACAGTCCCCAAATTGTCACAAGCTATGGAGAAACAAATTAGTAGCTGAAAGGGGAGACTTAACTCTCGTTACCATAAACAATCCAGCAATCTTTTGGCTGATTATAAAAGAAAAAAGGAAGTTATTTTAAAAGGAAATATTACTATCCAACAAAGAGAATGCTCTAGAGCAGACAGGTTTTTCCTGAAAGGCCTGAGAATAACAGAGGCAACCACTGTACAGAAGAGTAGTATTATTTATTATACTAACTTGGCTGGAAAAACAGAGTTTTTTGATACATAATCCCTCTTCTTATGCTTTAAATCATTTGGACTTTAGAAGCACTTTGATAGACAAAAAAGAACATTTAGGCATGACAAGTCATATTTTCTATACCAGGCTTCCCTTCTGCATCCAAAGTCTTTTCAAATGGTTGGCAATAAAGCCATTGCAAGGTGCATTGTCCACATGCTGATCCCTGCCCTGGCCAGAGATATAGAGCCATTTCTACAGTTATCTGCCAGCCTTTACTGAAGCCTGCTGGTTTTCAGCAATCAAAACTGTATTTAAACTTGCAATAAGATGTGCTCCCTTTGGGGTCAAGACAAGTTGGCTCTAGGTGTAATTTTACTACCTTCTAAAAAAGTTGATGCGTCAGAAAGCCCCTCCTGCGCGAATGGGTTCTAGAGGTGCAGGTGGACAAAGTTACCAGAAAACAGCAGGCTGAAGAAAGGAAAATTACATGCTGAGAAGCAGCATGTGAAAGTCTCCCAGGAATTGATACGGTCCAAGTAAATCCACAAGAACTGATAAATTCAGGACAACAACAGCCTGCTAACTGTATACCAAGCCAGTAGCACACACAAGCATTAACAGTGGGTTGCACTACTTGGTCCATGTCCAAGCAGGCAGCAGGTGCTGCATGCAAAGACTACTGGATTATATATACACAGCTGGTAAAGTAAAGGGTCCTCTGAGGGACTTTCTGAACACCTGCCTGGAAGCCAGAGGTCCCAGGGTTTGGGATAGGCCTCCCAACTGCTGCTCCAACCAGGTAATTATGAACAAGTGTGTGAGTGAATGTGTTGTACGAGCAGTTATCTCCTATCACTAACAGCTTTATTAACAAAAAGTGTTCTGTTGGTTGTTATCCTATCTCCGTGGATTCAATCCATTATCAGGGAAAAGGGAATCTACAACAATCAAGCATCCAATGATTTTATCAGGTATTTCTAGGCAATACCAATTCCCTGTAACTAGGATTGCTGTTGCCATTAATTGGCTTCATTTCTCAAATGACTTGCTCAAAAAGCACTTTTAAAGCTCACAATATCGGAATTTAGAAAATTGGGACTCCTACTGTTCATGGCAGAAACATATTAAATCAACCTAAGTAGTTTTCCTAATCAATGCAGTTTGGACTCTCCATTTGAACACCAGCATGTGCCAAGTTTCATCATCATAACCTAAATAAGCTGAAAGTTAACTTCTGTAATCGCTTTTACCTCTGAAAGGTAAGTGAAAGAAAGCACATACCTTTAAACAAATTCCCATTGCTGACAGTGTGAAGAGATCCTACAGAGCCTGGAATACTTGAGTACAAACTACCTACATTTTTCCATGATGTTAGGCTCAGAAAAAAAAAAAAAAAGCAGAAAACCCCCAAGTATTTCTAGCAGTCCATTTAGATTTTGGTACATGAGGAGATATTGTTAGTGCTGTAAAGATATTTTGTATATGCAGCACACCTACCATTTGTACCACTACCAGTAAAACCTCTGCCATGTCATCACACATTACTGTCACTTGGAAAACTACTCACGGGAGTCCTTCAGGGCTTTAGCAAAGCTTAAAACAAACTCATCTGACAAAGATCTGCAAAGTAAGCATTCACGCCTCTGGAAAACCTCTTTAATAGGAACATGTTATTGAATGGGTTATTATTCTACTCTAATAATTACGTGACTCTTTCTCTCTTCCACGCTTCCGTGATTTTACTGTTTGCTGCTTCTAAACAACGACAAGTGAAGTCAGAACTCCAGGAAAGTAGAAATGGGTAATTTTTTTCCTTAGTAGCTTTTCTTAATTCAGCCCACTCTACTAGTTTAATAAAGGGATGAGAATACAAGTGGAAGTTTCTCTTTAGAGACAGATGCACATATTAAGGTTAATTACTACATGATACCAGGTTGTTAAATAAGGGCTAATAAAAACCAACTGCTGGACTGTTTACACTGCTTTGCATAAACTCCTTCAAGCGTCTTGCAGTGAATAGTAGTTTTACTGCTCCGAAAGTTTCTACTCCACTGGGTTACCAAGGTAGTGCCCTTATATGCAAGCTACAGGATTGCATTTTGAAATTCTTCCTTTCATCTAAAATTGTTTATAGCACAGTACTTTCTCCTGGAAATTCCAGTAACAATTAATTGCAAGCCCTTACGATGAACTCTCAGCTTTGACTTCGGGCTGAGCAGAACTATGGCTTAAAAGAGAAAGGTATTTTTTGTGATTCTTTCTCATCCAGTGAATATAGAAATTTTCATGTCTGTGATCATTTCTTAAGACATTCTTGACATTTTCATGTAAACTTCCCTTTTATGTATCCAAAAAAGGAGACACTGAATGTTTTTGAGTATGTGAAAAGTGAATTACATCACTAAACAGTGTTGAAATTATAAAACACGGGAAATGTTTTTTCATGTGCTGTTTTTCTAGTTAGTGTTTTTTCTTTAGAGACATGCACTGCTTTACTCCTGCTGTCAAAATAAGACACCTCAGACTGAAAGACATCCCTATTTGAAAAGAATTTGCCACTAGACTCTCTTTTGCTTCTGGAGGACATCTATACAAAATTTGAACTTCCTGTTAAAAAATGCATATATAGAATCATTTTAAAAAGTCAATCTTCTTTTAAGTCAATAAATATCTTATATTCTTCCTTCTAAACCCTTATCATCAGAGTGCACGTTAACTATTAAAGCTTTGTTTACAGGAAAACTAAAAAGGAAAATTCTGATATCTTTAGAAAAATGGTGACAAACACTAGGAATTTGTTGCCTACATAAAGCAGAGATAAAAGGAAGCAAAATATTATGATTCATGTTATTTTTAAGCTTCTGCCACTTATGACACTAACAACTATGATGGAAAAAATTGATCAAAACAGCAACTATCTCAAAAAGTAGTAGCTGCTAGATCGTGGGCAGTTTTCTTCCCAGACACATAGGTGGAATCTTCTTTAAATCAGAGATGAGACGAAGAACAGGCACAGGGCTGTCCATTATTTAAGATACCTGAGATAGCTCAAAGCTACTGAACAGCTAGTATCAGTGGATAATCATTTAAGATTCAGAGAGTGAAAAAGCAAATCTTCTGGCACTGAAGGTAGGTTAAGTTTCAAGGAAGGACAGAGTCACCTCCAGAATTTACCAGTCATGTTAGGCCTACCATAGAGATCTATCCCCACCCATAATCCTCACGTCTGAGCAAATTTTATGACAGTAAACATTCAGGAGTTCTTTGACCTTTTGCAAAAGACCTGATCTAGTTTCTCCAACCCCACCAGATATTCCAAAATGTCTCAAATCTGAGAGTGGGCTACAGAAAATAGAGGTGCCAGTCCAGTCAGAGATTTCCTCCCCCCCCCCAAGTGCTATTACAGAATCTAGGTTATCTCAAAGACTTGAAATAGTAAGACAACTGCCTGTCTCTTCTATGAATTCCTTGAATTCCTTACTCAAATTATGAATTTGAATTGGGTGCTTAACTTAGATTCTTTTTATAACTTAGACTAAAGATTTCTAAAAAAAGTTTATTGTCATCTATGTTAAGGATCATCTTACAAGTTTAATAGCACTATTTTAAACAGCATATGCTTGTTATTTTTTTCAAATATAGTTCATTTATAGTTCAAGAACCATGACTTTGGAGTCACATTTATTAGAAAATACCTTAAAAAAAGATATTTTAGAAATCTGAAACAACATAATGAATCAGCTATCTTTAATATTCATTTTTTGTTAAACTAGCTACAAGTCATCAGCCAAAATACCAATATTTATCTCTAGAAATACCTGAGTTACAGAATAAAGAGTTATATGAACAAGTACCTATGAAAATATAAATAGTATTTAATAGTATAATTTTATTAAAACTTTATTCAAAATAAATTTTGAGAGAATAGTCTCTAGGATTTGCTCAGTCTCCACACAATCATATCAGAATGGAGCTGAGCCTTTGCTATTTTCAAAGTGGTTTCCTGGTAAAGGGCACCATTCATTGTTTGATTCATACTTAGCACACACCCTTCTCGATCATTCTGAAGCTTCTTTCTGAACTGCTGAACTCCTTCCGCACTGTCCAGGAAAGAAGCCACAGGAGCATCACTGATTTTCTTGCCAGGCTCATTGCCCCATGTCAAACTGTTTTCAGCCTTATTTTCTTTTGACGAGAAAGAATTCCTTGAGATGAGCACTTCTTTTTCCAAAGCCAGCGCTAACTGGTCGGTAAGTGTATCTTTGCTTCCAGACCTCAGAAGTTTTATATCACTGCTTGGTGGGAGAACTCTAGTAAGGCTATGAAGGCACTGGAACAAGACAGTCAGATTTCTGTAAAATAAGAATACTTTTATTAAAGCTACCTGAAGTCTTCCTTGTATCTTCAAAATTCTATAGTGGAATATATAATAAAGCTACTTTACATCAAACAGGGAAGAACTTTGGCTGATTATGGTTTTAACTATTATGTATACCGTACAAAAAAGAGCAAGTAATGGCCTTCTCATGCAGTGCCCACTAGCCACAGCGTATCAAAAGAACTGCTTCAGCAATACAAATATTCTGAGTTGAAATATATGCTTAAAATCAGGGTTACACAATCATCACTTGTTTCTGTAAGAGGTAAGTGTTTGTACATAAAGGCCATGTATGATAGCGCAAGGGATATGCTGTTGCATTTAAGGGCAGAAAAATATCACGTATATTCATAGATTGTCAATATCAATAGAAACGCAACGCATGGATGTTAGGTGGCCCACAGTTGTCTCTTTTGAATAGTCAGCAGTGATGGAAAGTTGCACTTAACTTGGAATGTCTGATTTTTGTTAAGGACCCAGAAAAATATAGTGCTAGCTATGGTAATCTTCAGGGAAGCTACTCCCCTCAATACCAGCATAGCACATATGACGGAGTGATAGATCAACAGCCACACTAACTCTAAGGAGAATGTCAGGTTTGTCCAATGTTTTATTTGCTGGGTTTAGCCAGACCAGCTTCTCAGAAGATGCCTTTGATGAAGCAAAAAAAGAAAAAAGAAATAAAAAGTCTTAAGCAGCCAGTTTTGTCACACAGATCAGAAAGGCACTCATTTTTCCTTACAGTAGTTCTATTTCAACTCAGTTAAAAATGATGTAATATTAAGATAAGAGAAATAGTTTGCTTCAATTTGGAAAAGCTGTGAAAAATAATCTGTTTTTTGCAAGGACAATCTGTAGCTTTCACCTATCACAGAAAATCAAATCAGTCTGAGGAAGGGGGAAAAAGACACAGAAAATATAGCCATAGTTACACCAAAAAATACACAGCTCATTAACTGAATATTAAGGCAAAACTGTTAAAAAGTGAATATTAGATAACCATTTCAAAATGAACCAAACATGTTAAGGCACTTAATTTTAACGATGGATTTCTTAAACATTTCAGCCTTTATTCTTTATATAAAACAAAATAAATCAACTCTTATTTTGAGTACATTACCCAGCTGAATCATAAACAATTGCTATCTTGTTTACTATGATGTGAGAAATTCTATAGCCCACAGGCCAATAATCCACAAAGGAAAAGGAAAAATTATTGAGACTCCAGATTATTTCCTTTACAAACTGCGGTAGATAGGGAAGTAAATACACCAGAAATATGCATTATTAGTATAAGAATATTTTCTGATGTAGTGTTACTAAATTACATGCAAAAATTTATTTTCATTTCATTTCTGTATGAAAAAGAATTAGATTTAAATTTAGCACAATCTTGCTTTTTTAACATCCCCTTAACAATATATTTTTTAAATTAACACACGTTGAAGAAAAATTATACATTATAATACAATTAATGTAAGATTATGATGCAGGTCAGTGAAAGCAACAAAAGAGACAGCACCAAGGACCCATTCACAAAGACTAGAATTATTCGTAACTCAGTGTTCTGGCACAGACAAAATTAAACAATGCAATTGAGATAGGTCTGACAGTTTTGATTTGAAAATAATTCTGCTTGGCTATTGATTACGAAAAATACCACTAAGAATCAGTGCAAAGATAAAAAAGTTCATACAAGACAAGTAAACTCTACACTTTTTGACCAACTCTACCTGCAAAACAAGGTTAGAATTCCTTCAAACGGAGTTTTCAGGGTCCAGTTGAGAACTGTACCATGCAGATTTCCAGCTTTATGGCAGAAAAGATTGTCATGGCATTCCTTAAATGGTGTGCACTCCATTTCTCCCTGTAACCATGAATTTACTGGAGTCAGTGTGCAAGCAGAAGACACAATCTGAAAGCAGAATCTTACAGATACTGCAAGGACAGCAAGGATATCTTCCAGGGCACCTGCAAGAAAGTGATGTTAAAAAAAATATTTTAACTAAATACTTTGATCATGTTGTATACGACAAATCAGACTAGATTTTTGGTTCACATTCCCGACTCTGCTTCAAGAGTCTACACCTCAGCATTCAGTCCTTTGGGAATTTTCTCCCTAAATTCCTACATCTTCTTCTGTCAGGTAAAAAGACTAGCTGATTAACAGAGCCCCCAGCTATACAGAGAGCTCTAAAGACAAACGTCACTGTGCCATAACAAAAAACAAAAAAACCCCCACTATTAATAGCCTACTGTGATATTAAGATGACATGTTGGCTTTAGCAAATGATACGGTAATAAAGGAAGAAATTAAAATTCATATCAGACAATCAAAAGAACAGTTGAATACACTAGCAGAAGCCCAACTGGAAATTAGTTCAGTCAAGATCCTTAAAATAAATAAAAATAAACTAACTTTGAGCTGTGCCGATGAGCAAAGGCTTCAATTACTTCACTGTTATTTAAGAGGTAATATTATGTCAGAAAATAACTATGCATCTAATCAACAGTAAATTTCCCATTTATAGAAAGTTAAAACAGGCTGCAGCATTCTGCACTCAGACTTATCTTTAAAATTTACCTCTCCAGATGCACTTCAGCAATAATGCTAGCACAAAATATTATGGCAACTCACTTAACATTTTTCTGTTTTGAATTTTTTTCCTATTCCCTTGCATTTTACCCAGTTGTTAGTTCGCAATAGGTTTATCCAGACTGTGTTCAAAACGAGATTATGTTAAATGAGACTGTGTTCAAAATGACAGATAAGATTACAGCACAGAAGACTTAGCTTAGTATGATATAGAATAAAAATAAGAATTAATCATATTTCTATAAATTCAAATCGCATCAACCCATTTACCTGTACAGTAACTATTATCCCTTAACATCTTTACTGAATATTTTCCATGTGAAATATCTTCCAGACTTAACAGAATTTTCCCACATAGTAAAGTAATCTTTTTGCTCTTCTGTAAACTACCACTTTCACGTTTTTGTTTCTTCGCGTGTAGTAGAACTGTGCAACGTACGCTGTGAAATGCCAACAGTGGTGAAAGGCTGGTAACAGCAACGAACGTTTTTGCTCCATCCAGTGGAATCTTCAAATGTCTCTTATGAAGCTCTTCTTTCAGATCGTTCTTGCTATGAAAGTCCAGTTTCATCTTTTTTGGAGGTGGCTCAATTTGACCTGAAGAGATAGCCAAAGCTGAAAAGGCTTTGTTCAGCGTAATGGCTTTATTCTGACACTCAATAATTGGAGAAATCCTTTCATCCATTACTAAGGATAAACTGACATCACTCAGCGACCTGTGAAAATCCATATAGGAAAATCCAGTTCATATTTTGCCATCTGACAAATAACTTTGCAGATATATACAAACACTTAATACTTCCATAAGCAACAACATCATTCCCTGTTAATTCACAGACTGTGCAAAAGAGTATAAGTACTTTAAACAACTATTTCATCCAAGCATGGTGTTAGGATTTTTGAAATATGGACTGAATTTTCTAGAAGCTTCTAGGAGCTAGCCTAATTTCAATTGAAAGGCAATAAAATGTGGGAGTCTAATTCACCTAGAAAATGTCGAGAATGCCACATAACCTATGAAGATGCTCTCTGATATTTGTAACTTACTTTTAAAGTAAGTTCTGTCAGTTCTGTCACCTTTGAGGCCTAAAAGGACATAGCTCTTCTGACATTCTATATTTGTTCTATAGATATTCAAACAAAATTGCATGTAGAGAGTAAGAAGATTTAAAATACTATTACCTTAAAGATGCAGTAATTTCCCGAAATGTATGAAGTGCTTTATTCGGTGAACATGGGGTTCTTTCATGAAATCCTAATATTATTGTTTCAAATCCTTTCTTAAAGGACATTTTATTCTGTCAATCAATTCAGTCTCAAGAGGTCACTGACATTTGAAAGCCTTATAAATGTCTAGTTCTTTTTTTTGGAGACAAGTATTACCAACTAACAATGCAATCTAATACATCAGCGCAATCTCGCCTTAGTTCGAAGCACAAAAACAAAACAAATCAGTGAAGACTTTAAGGGTTGGTGGTGGAAAGAAATCTAGCCCCTCCTCACCAAAACCACAGGCTGTTGTATACAGTAATGAACTGGAGCCCAGAAAACCTAGGTTTTGCTGCTAGCCTACCAGGTAACCTTTGACAAATGATCTTCACAGAACTTTTCTCAACTGTGCAATATCGCTGCTGCTTTTTAAAGAACAGTTCCAAATCTTCTGAGGATTTCTGGGGCTATACTGGAATTAGGTATTTCTTTTTTAAAAGAATATTGTCATCACAGCTGAAAAATAAACACTGAAAAGGCAAAAACAATTGCTTGCCTCAGTGGCTCTTAACAGAGGCTGTCAAGAAGATGAGGTCAACTTTCTTGTAAAGTTATTGCAGTCTGGCAGTTGAGTAATAATATACCCGCAGCTCCAGCAGAATGGCTAAAGGGCGTAATAGGTCATCTCCCTCACAATCACTTGAATGATTTTCAGTGGCATCGATACTCTTCAAGCTTACCCTGTGCAGTCTCAGCTGCACCGCTTGTGGGAATACAGGTCAAAAGGTAAGTTCCGACTCCAGCAAAGTTTACATGCAATGCACATACTGAGTTTTTGTTTCAGTTAATCTTGTTTCTTTTTAAACCGCCTTCCAAATTAGCTCCCTCCCTTCCCTCTCTTTCATGGGGAAATGACATCAGCTGAACATCATCTGTTCTTAACAGTATTCACTACTAGAACTGAGCAATTAAAATGAACAATCAAACCATTTTAAAGATTAGCTTTGAGTAACGTATGCATGCGTTCCACATGATCTACATAACACATAAGCTTAGCAAATACTTTGATTGGATACCTGACTATAGCATAATTCAATCCAAAAGTAGAAATACTTATCAAGTTAATTGGAGAATTTTAAATGTTTTAAATTTTTAAAAATTTAAAATCCTTCTACATTCTTCTTCAAGCAAATCACTCTGTTTAGAAATGGCAAGAAGTTAACACAAAAGCAGCAGAAATAGTACAGTTAAAACAGAGCTATACTTACACCACATACTGATGTTAGCACAACTGTGTCAATCTGGACTGTAAAGAAGCATGATTTTTGTCACAGAAAACTTTGTCATAAAACAAATCTCCAGTAAAGATGTGCTTATACTGACGCAACTGCTTTTTGGCTATATAACCCACTCTTGCATAGAGATGGGGAGAGGCAAGGAGCAGCAACAATACTGGCAAAAGACACACTGGAAACACTTTATACGTAGGGGCTCAAGTTAAAGAATTCAGAGCTCAGAACTCTGCTTGCTACTGCATGGCTTACCCTGCAAATCAAATTTCTATAAAACTACTCAGTGAAATTATTAGATAAATTGATATACTTACAAGTTAAATGATTCCGTTAGTTTTACTCCAACTATCAAGTTGTCACCCACAACACGTTGCCACAATTTCTCTATGGAGTGCTCTGGAACTTTAGATGTCAGTGACGCTTCTTTGTTAAGAAGAGGAAGAGGATTTTCTGTATCATCCCAGAGAGCGACAAGACCTTCCTTATAGAAAAATGTTTGTTTAGATAAATTAAGTGCAGATATTATTTCTTTTTATACAGCATTATTTAGTGTTTTACCACAAATGATCATAGGGAGTGCTTTTGAGATACATAAAATGAAATCTATATGAACTAGTTTGTTCTCTGTAAGAGGTCTACAAGATATAACTGCACTTTTTCTCAAAGTACATGTCACGACAAGTGCAACTCATTCTCTCCTTCTAAACTTGATAAGTATAAATCCTGATTTGTCATACAATTAATTGTCCCAAACAGATTTAACGTATTAAAACCTATATTATGTTATGGTATTAATTACTTGGTAGATTTTGCTGGCTGAACTTGACTGACTTGAAAGGGACCACAACATGAACTAAAACGAAGCTCTTCTCCGTTTGAAGTAAACTAGGATACTTATTTATAGCAACTAATTGAGATAACATTTTCTTGAACTCTATTACCTTCTCAGCCCACAGTTCACTTTGCCTCCATTATAAATCAATTTTGCTTACACAGATACAAAGTTCATTTTTTGCAACATGTTGGACCACAGAGAGATATACAATTTGCAGGCGGCTGTGCCAATAAAGACTGTACAATTACCCTGCTGTTTGCTCCTCTCTGTCAGAGGTTACTCCTTCTACAATTCACTTGTCAGAAGGTACTGTATAAATCAGCTCCAAGCAAAGACAATTACTTCTACTCTTATTTACATTCATTGGTAGGCTAAGGTAATGAACCAGACTTTATTTGAAGCAGATTAACGAGTTTTCATAGTGGTTATCTCTACTGGTGAAAGTAACAAGCAGTTGAGGGTGGCATCATCTAAAAATGTCTCAGTATAATCGAGAAGTGATCTGTGGTCTGCACTCTCTTCTGCATTTTACCTTTTTCGCGGCTGGTAGAATATGGCTTCTTTCTTGAACAAGATCTACTAATGCTCTGCAAGATTCAAGAATAACCTTCTTTTTAAGCCTTAAATGGTGCTGTAGCTCTCGAATAGAGGTATAACCAGCCTGTAAAAGATAAAACTATCATTAGACTTACGTTTTTGTCTACTGCAATCAAGAATTCATGTTGAAACTACTAACATATCTTTCAACTTTCCTTTTTATGCAAGTATCACAAGCCAAGATCCTGGCGTTCCTTAATTAACGCTTCTAAAAATGTGAAACTCAGGTTTCTTTGTGGCCAAAATATGCATCTAAGTCTTGGAGACTCAGTTTTAAACTTAGAGTTCAAGATAAACTTCTAAGGTACATTTTCTCAAAAAAGTAAAAAGAATTAATAAATGTGTGTGTGTGTGTGTGTGTATACACACATACATACACACACAAATCTTTCATTATTCATTCCTGCTTCACTTTTCCATTTGTATCAGTTTAGATTTCTTCTTAATATTTGCATTGATTATCAGTCAAGCAAGTATTTTGAAGATTTGAATTTTACAGACATACATGTAGGTCACCTCTAAGTAAAGAAATGCATGCCAGCTCCAGCTCCCTAGACTTTAAGAAAGCTCCTGAAAAGCTATTCTTTGGGAATCAAGATCCTGAGAAGTTTAATGCTGTCAGCAAGAGAAAAAAGTTGGTCACTAGAATGCAAAATCAACATTTAAACTTGAAAAAAAAAATCTCAGGAGCAGTCGGAACTAACTGGCAGGTCTTAAGAAAAAGACACTTCATGTAAGAGAAGTGATACCAACTGCTAAGACTGTAACAGCAAAAATGCATTCAGAGTGAATAGCGATTCAGAGTGAATAGCGTTCATCATGATAAATTGTTTTTTCTTTTTTTTTTAAACAAAAATTTCCACCTCTCAAACCATGCATCAAAAGTACCAGATTCCAAGCAAAAATGCAGTGCTGGACTTGGGGAGGGAGGTAGGGGGGGGAAGAAGAGAAAGAAAAAAGAATGAGAATGTTGCTATAGCCCCTTGCCAAGCACAGTCATCAGAATACAGAAGCATTACTTACTCCCACTGGTGAGTAACTCCTGAATACATACTCAAGAAACAGAAAAAACAATCAAATCAAAATGGCCAAAGGTTCACAGATCTATACTTGCTGACCAATCTGACCTCTGAGAGCCTTTTTGCCCTCATAAAAGCAATGCAAGAAAGAGATCTGAAACTTCTCACACGACAAAAACAAGACTGAACAACCCCCCCCATCAACCGTCTCAGGATATGCATTTCACTTGTTTCTATGAGCCATATGTCAAGATGTATTGAGCAACAAGTGTCAGCAGAGTTCATGATCTTTGAAGGGTGAGTGATCTGTGTCATGATCTGTGAAACTAAGAAAGTAAAACTAGATCACTTTAAAATAGAAAATAAACACTAACATAAAAATATCTCAGTACAGAACCAAATCAGCACTGCGAAAAAATCCAGCATGAATCACTGTCAAAAGCAAAGCACGTTAAGGCAGAGGCTTAGTAGTCAGTAGAACAGTCATAGAATAGGTAGTGTTTTAATACACTGCAGTTCAAGTTACAATATTCATAAATAAATAAATATCAGTATAGAGCTAAAACTGCTATATGAAGAACTGTGGCACCTTAGCAAAGGAAAAAAAACGGAAAGGAAGATTCATGAATGACAGAATTAACAAAACATCGCAAGAAGCAAAGGAAAAATGAAAAAGCAGACAAAAAAGCCAGAAGAAAACATAACTGAACTGTAAAGTGTTGCAGATCTAGAAGTTGAAGCTGCTGTTATGGAAAATAACTGGTTCTGTGGTTTTCAAGTAGCTAAAATTCCTTATTTTAAAGAAAGTCAAAAAGAAAATGGGCCTATCCAAACCAAAGATAGTAAAAGAAATACTTAAAACTTAGACTAAAAAAATGTGATAAAAAATCAAATGTATAGAACATTTAAGAAATGTCTTTCCACTCACCAAGGTTATCAAAAATATACCTGCTCCAAAACAGACAAACCGAACGCAAAGGAACCATTCAATCACAGTTGAAAGAACTTAGCATTACAGTCCTTATAAAATTGTTAAATAGCCAGCGGTGGGGTGTTCAGAGATACTACTGATTCATGAGATTCCATCACTCAGAACCACCAGAAACCCTCTGACCACAGACATTGCAATGTAGCTGCACTACTCTGCTGAAGAGAGTCGTCTTTAGTAAGTTACTACAGTGAGTGTTAAAGAAAAAACTCTTTAGAGGAGAACAGGCTAGATTCCAGCCCAAAAGACTGTAGAACAGATAAACTTATAATGGTTCCCAAAATACACAAATGGACAGCTTTCCATTTCATTTGTGCAAAATGCCACTTACATGTATTAATGCATATAACTTAAATATAGCCTATTTATATGCAGTGGAATACAACACAACCCTGCCAGACCTCTTGTATGACTGCAAATCTCTGAAATATATGAAATATTTAGGGGTAAGCAACAGAGGTATGAAAAAGGACTGCATTTGCTAATTTTTTTTCTTTGCCTTAAAACAGGAGATACCATAGAGACTGTTACAGCATGATTTGATCGCAGATTTCTTGAAGTTTTGGTGATAACTACCAAGAGACACGACTCCAAAGGCTAGATAACCTTTGGAAATTCCCGGGCTAAGCACGATCCATGTGTTATTGCATCAGAACAAACACCCTTGAAATACAATTATACGTCAGATAATAATAATCAAGAATACTTTACTATTCAGGGAAACAGAACAATAAATACCTTTGGGATATAACTCTGGGAGGAAAACAATAAGATATCTTAAAAAAAAAAAAAGGAAGAAAAAAAAAACCCACACTCAGGTCTTATATATCTTTGTTAGAAACACTTGATCATCAGAAGACAGGCAAAATCTCCAGACAGCAGCTTGTTTCCACCAAGAAATTGATTCCATCTGAATCACAGAAAGTATAGGACATACTTAGGCTAGTCATTCGATTCTGGCACAAATTCACAAAACTCAACAAGTAAAAGCCAACTGGTGTCAAAAGAGAAGAACATAGTCAAAGAATAACTTACACAGAACTCTTAGCATTCAATTGCAGGGCAGACAATCGCAGACAATCTTCATGACAAAAGTGGAAAGAGCAACAAATGAGAGAGAGAGGGGAAACTAAATTCCATTTTGCAGAAGAAAGTAATGTAACGAACAAGGAAAGAGCATAGCAGCAGAGAAGTCAATTTTAAATTTAAAATAAAAGGCTAACCAAAAGAATTCAGAAACAGAAAGTAACGTATGCTCAATAAAACTTGCACTTCTTTTTATGTAAAAACCAATAGGCCTCTAATTTCCAAATTGGAGAACTGTACAAATGTAGGCTTGGAAGGGACCTCAAAAGGTCATCGAAATGAAGCCAATTTCTACTTTATTCTGCCTTCAAGGAACAAGAGAAATTATTATTCAGTATCCTCCAAACAGCAGCTTTTATCTTTGGAATATTTATACAATCTTTTTAGATGTTTCTTTTGGTCAGAAGAAACTGAAAAATCTTTTTTTTTCTTCAGTCTTTTCCTTATAGGTTTATACTACTCCTTTTCCTTCAATTCTAAACTAAACTTTTGCCAGCTAATTTGCTTCCTTTTTAAAGGCTGGAGAGCAAACTGACACTGTAAACTACCTAAGTTCTCATTAATTCTGAAATGAACGGAATAATTATCTCCTCTCTCCTATCTAAAGCTGTCTTCGCAAACTAACAACAGCCTTACATTGCTGACTTAATTTGACAGTCATGGTATCTCCGAAAGCCTTTTTTTATAATCCTCCTATCTGGTCAGTTATTACCATTTAGCGTAGACAAGGGTGACCAGGCACATTACTGCATTAGAACATCTCAGAGAGCATGCAGGCTACACAAGAACAAAAGGTAAAAAGAAAGTTGCATCCTCAATTTCAGTAGCAGGCAAAGCTATAGTCCTACTCGTTATCTGAGCTTTAAAAAGTTTCTCCAAGGTTGTCTTATAAATGAACCTAATTAAAAGAAGGACATGTTTTAACTTTACTTACTCTACTTTGCAAAATTATCCTAATAAAACAGGTAGTAACAGGAGGAAAAATATCAGCAGATAGTGAAATCACCATGGTCACTAATTTCTGCAAAAGTAAAAGCCAACTTCACTAAAGTCCATGGACAAAACACACCATAACCCCCTTTTTTCATCGAGGATTAACTCACTCACTGAGAACCTGACACTATACTATCTCAAAGTAAGCAACCTGAAGCAAAAGAAGTAAACACACTGGTATTTTTAAATTGTTATTTAAATGTCTACGAGTAAAACGACTGTTATGAAGCTTTGATAGAACGGCTTCAGCGTTATCTCAAAATTTTAACTAAAATATAAATTAGACCCTGCCGATTATCCAAGTACATTTTTACTGAAACAGCCTATCAATGATTCAAGGATACTTAATAATGTTGCTTTCTCCCTGATCCACTTCTGCAATTAAAACAGAATCCTCAAACTCACCCTTTACACAATGCAATGATACAGAAAAGTAATTTAAAGGAAATATGGAGTCGGAACTACTCAGTACAAACCTGTAATCTTGTTTCAAGGGCTTGGACTGTAAGCAAACCATTCTCTTGCAATCCTTCTGCAGCAGGAACATCATCTTTATAATTAATATCACTCTAAAAAAAGACAAATTAATTTAACTGTAGAAAGCTAGGCACAGACATGCCATTACAAAAATCAAGGAAAAGAAATCATAAAATCAGAAGGATCACCACATGCAATTTAAAGGAAAAATCTTGCCTTCTGAAAGCAATTACAGATTGACGATACATAATAGAAAGATCCAACTATGAGAAGATATTTAATATGGACTATGGTCTTAATTAGGAACTTTTAGCCAAAATGTAAGCACCACAGCAAACCTTTTACATATGTGAAGCATTTCCAATGGCATTATTTCAACTTCCCAAAAGAACGCTGATGCTATCAGGGAAGTAGAATAATCTCTTCAGATAACTTATCTCCTAATCTCACAATTAAAAAAGGGATATTGTATTAAAACTTCAGGGCATTTTACAACACACATTCATTTCACTTTGTATGTATACTTTAAGGGTTCTTGAGTTTTTTAATTAAGAAAGTACAGATTGAGTAGCTGGGAAAAGACAAGCTGAACTTACTGCATAGTTGACCTCTCCAAAATCCATTATTCTGAACGCACTTAACAAATCGGTATCGGAGTCATCCTTAAAAAGCAGTAATATTTGCTCAGTTCCATAGCCAACAAAATCATCTATGAGAACAGACTTCACGTTTTGCCATTTGGAAGCAATCTACAGTAGAAGAAATATTAAAACATATATTTAAATGAATTTTGTATCTGAGATTTATTTTTGGTGCAACTTGCTCATTTTAGACAGAGGTACGCTATTTAAGCATCTGGAATACAGTATTCTGAAGAGTTTCAAGCTCTGATCCTAACTCCATCACTTATAGCCTGTGTAACTCTGGACATACTAGCTCTTTAAAGTTCACTTTTTAGATAGAGATTGCAAAAGAATGTAACTTTTCAGTGTATTCAGACAGATGCAGAGCTGAATTCTGCAAAATGTATCTAAAACTGTTAATTTTCTCAGACCAGTTAAAGGCATGACACCTTTGATATTCATAAATTTTTCTGCTGCATTGCATATAAATATAATGGAGAAGTAAAGTTGAAAATGTATGCTAATTATACACATAAAATGCTGACAACTAAATAGGACAAAATTTTTAATCCCTAGAATTACATAATTCTTCTACACAAAGTATTTGACCCCACCCCCAAACTAGTAATTAATTTTGTCTCTCCTAATTTTACAAAACTAAAATAAGACCTTCTCTTGTCATTTACATGAAACAATGCTTTCTGTAACTGGGAAGTGAGACTCACAAAGCTAATAAACTTCAAAAGGAAGTTTATACTTTGAGATATTGGTTTAGTGGCACTCTAATGTAAATTATGTCAGCATACTCAACCTTACAACTGTTAAATTCTCGCCCAAAATAAGTTTAACAACAACAATTAAGACCAGAAATTTTGGCTCATATTCAGAAAATGAATTATTAAATACTAGAATTCAGGATTCACTTTCAGATGAGAAAGCAATAAATGCAAAACAACTGGATACTTTAAACAGGTTGTTTTAACAGAAGCAACATAAAATGCTATGGTACTTAAACATGCAGCTTTTCACTTGCAGAAACATCAGATAAGACAAAGTATTAAAAAAGAAGAAATAGAATTATTTTACAGTAGTAAAAAGAAGCTGTTTAAGGTCACAAATACCTGGAAACCGTCTCTCCATACAGTGCAGATATTCCCAGAGGCAAAAGAAACAATAAATAGCAAGTCATTGCTACTAGTTATAGCTGTTTTTACTGAACAGGGTTTCTCATATGGAAGCTCACAGACACCTTTAGGGAGACCATCTTGGAACCAAATAAGTTGATTCTTGTGAGTGATGGCAACAACTGATATTCTGAGCTGTTTTTTCAATATCTCTTTCTTGCAGACACAGACAGAAGATACCACTCTGCTGTAAGCATGAGGCATAAAGCACGTGCCAGTTATCATTTTCTGTGTTTCAATTGCATATCCAAAGAACTCACTACCCCAGATAGCTCTATCTGAAGCGGAAAACTCTTGTTCGTCTTCGCTCTCTGATAAGCAAGCAGTTCTTATCCCTAAGACAACAACACCTTCCTCTTCAATTTCACCTGCCCACACAATGGAAGAAAGTTGAACAGGAGCACTTAGAACCGTGCAGGCGTCGGAAGAGATGTAAAACAGCTTGTTAGCATGCCTCCACAAGACTGAGGGACCAGGAAGCAACCTGATGTCTTCTTTCAGCTCATAATCCAGTTTAAAATTAAAGGACTGTTCAAACTGATTGGAGCTGTGAAGCAACAACAAGAGATATTTGAAAACATTTTTCCGTTTTTTCTTTTTCATCAAAACGCAGGGAAGAATAGTTCCTGTTCTGGAATCTGTTGTACAGCTACAACAAATCATTTCAATTTCTAAGTGATTGCCACGCATGCTGAATAGTCCAGCGGATTTTGGAATAAACAGTTTAGTGTCTCTGTCAAAGGCCATTCTTCTGATAGATAACTTTGTTGTTTTACCAGCTTCTCCTTCTACGTGCTTTGCTTTTGACAATTGAAATATAAGGACTTCGCCATTGTAGGACAAGACTTGTTCTTGCTCACTCAGAAGCATCTTTCTTTATCTTTATACCTATTCCTCTACAAGAAAACAGTAGGTTTCTCCATTTTGGGGGGGGGGGTGGCAGGAGAGGAAGATTTCTCTGCTGAAATGTTAATCTAGCTGGACATTTTTTTTCTACAAAAAAAACAACAACAACAAAAATTAAATTGTTTTAGGACTAGTTGAGTTGACTGATAAGGCCTTAAGAATAAGGAAAACTACACATTACAAAGCAGTTACAAAGCCTAACCTAGAGAACACGAGCCTAGTACACGGTTAACTTTGCAGAGCTGCGGGATTAGAGCGAAATTAAGCAGCTTTGCACTGAGAGATGCAGAGAACCTAAGTGTGTGTCCCAAACGTGTTCTAATGTTTATTTACCAAAGCATTAACTCACCGGCCATCAAAAGCTACATAGCATAATGAGAATTGAAACGGAGAGGGGATGCATTCCCGCCTACTTGACCACGTACAGGTCGCCGGAGACTTGCGCGGCG